GTAACAATATATATGCTAGTAATATTGATTTAATCAACATATGTCAATGTTCAACCCCAAAAATATGTATAATCAATTTTCATTCAATAAATAAAGTAAAATAATTTTTTTTTAAAAAAGATGGTTTGGTTTTGTTTTCCATTAAGTTGTAGGAATTTCTTTTAAATAATCTATAGTTGATTAAAAAGGAATTCATGATAAAAATAGAAGACACTTGAGGAAAGATGTGGGAAATGGACTCTGCACACACGCTAAACTAACAATGTCTCTAAAACTAATGACTACAGCAAAAAATGTCTTCACATTGGGCCGGCCCGGTGGCGCACTCGGTAGAGTGCGGCACTTGGGAGTGCAGTGGCACTCCCGCCGAGGGTTTGGATCCCATATAGAGACCAGTCCACTCACTGGCTGAGCGCAGTGCGGGGGCGACACCGAGGGTTGCGATCCCGTTGCAGGTCGCGGTACGGGCGCGACACCGAGGGTGGCAATCCCATTACCGGTCACGAAAAAAGACAAAAAAAAAAAAATGTCTTCACATTAAAATTCTGCTTTTTATGTGTTTTTCCCCCATTTTTCACACAATTACAAAAGAAAAAATAAGAGCCTTAACATCTGGATTATTTTTCATTTTTTTGGACCAAATGTTCAATTTCCTCTAAATTTTTTGACCTGTGGAACTTTTTATAGAATAAAATCTTTTGCATGAAAGACTGGAGTTCAAAAAGAAAAATACACATATCTTAAAGGGTAAAGAGAATGCTCAGAACAAAGGATGATAGGAAAATAGTTTTAGTCACTGGTTATTTCATTATCCTTAGACTCACTTGCCCTTCATCCCTCCCCAACCCCAATCTACACAATCTTTAAGATCAAGAAAAAAATTTAAATATTTTTAAATAATTAAAAAGAAATAAAAATTCACATTTAAAAAAGAACACTCAAGTCAGAAAATAGTTAACCATCATGCTTTTCTGTGAACAGGTGTCTGAACCAAAACTCTGCCGATGTCACAACTGCTTCAAGCTTAATGAAAACTGATTCCCATGACAATAGACAGTGACAACTCTAACAGATACGCCAGGTTTTTGTTCTACTTAATTTTTAATTCCTGAAATGGAGGAGAGGGGAGGGAGTTTAGGAATTCGTTTCTATTAAAATATAGAAGTTATTGCAAAACCCTAACTGTTAAAACACACCATTGTAATCAGACTTTGCATACAGTAGCTAAGAGAATCCAAACGCTTCAGTGAAACAGTGAATTTGCCTGGCAGAATGCTGACAAATTCCCATCCAGTTGCCCTCCTGAAAATAAAAAAGTTCAAAACAAACCATACAGCTAGAATTTTGTTATCTGAAATATTTTTAAATAAGCTGCCTTATAATTCCAGGTTTATCTTTTCACAAAGATGTTAGTTTGTTAAGACTTGGCTGCTTCTCTCCCTCAAACGTCAGGGCAAGCGAGGCTCAGTTTATCTATCCTGTCCAAACCACACTGTTCCTATTCATAGAACCCTGCCCCTTGAGACTGGCTAAAACTCGTAGTACTCGATGGCCACGTCAATGGCCCAGACAAATTTCTCCCTCTGGGTTTTGTTGAAAATTTTCTCTGTCAGGCTGGCCCGGTGGCGCACTGCTACAATGCGCCACTTGGGAGCGCGGCGGCGCTCCCGCCGAGGGNGAAAATTTTCTCAGTCGAGATCCCCCCACTTCTTGCACCAAGCCACTGTGATCCTTGAGTCCAGATAACTGAGTTTGGAGGTTTCCCAAAGCAATTTGTTTATTTGGTCTGTGACCTTAACTTCCAGCTTCATCAACTACTCCTCAGTCACTGCACAGCCTTTTTCTTTGACTCTACTACCCTTACTGGTCTTTGCATCCTTCATGA